TTTTTCTTATACAGGAGTAGGTATAATATAAGGGTATAAGTATAAACGAAGAATAATACACATGTCCCTCAAATTCCGTCCCTCCATTTTTGGAGAGATTCGAAGAGGTTTAAAAAATGTTGCATATAATTCAAATTACCAATTCCTCTTTAATCTCTCGTGATCTCTCCGAATCTTTCCTTTCCGTCTTTTTTCCCTCAACAAAACCAAAATCGAATTTTCAAGACCCCCTTTCTCTTACCCCAATCCCTCCTATAAAATAGTGTTCTAGTCGACATTTTCGTGCTCTGCGATTGATTGCCAGGATGGATCGATGACGTGATCCATTAGGAGTATCTAAAACTTGCTTCGACACACCATTTGGTACGATCGGTATGTGATCAACAGATCATCCTAGCGCAAACCCTATTATTATAAAGGGCATCTTTCTCCCATCAACTTAACTGATGCTGCCAAGTTACCCTGAATCATAAATTAAACTCCCTAACGTTCATTTGATGTCTTTGTTAGGTGGTTAGGTCGGTGATGGCATAATAAAAATTTTCAGGACTTTCCTCCAGCTGAGATGGGGAGAAGATGACTGGAGTGGTGGTAGTTCCCACAAAAATCATTTCTTTTAGGACTAAGAGCTCAAAAGGCACAACAAACCCATTTGTTTTGGTCCAATCTCGTGCCAAAATATCTGGATTTTTGTACAAATTGCTGTCGTTAAGCTTATCGAGTGTCAATTCCACAGAAGAGATGCAATTGGCTGCATGTAGTACTTGATGAGGAAAACAAAGATAATCTCGCCAATCTTTTACACAGAGCCTTTAGCTCTTGGTGTGCGCTGTTCATGGACAGTCGCCCTGGGCCACCACCCGAGAGGCTTTCGCGGCGCGTCTCTTCTTTACAAAAAAAAAAAAATGGCGATTCAGTTTGACAGATCCCACCACTGCCTGAGCCGACCTGCTAACTACCGACGACCCCAACCCTGCCTCCACCGATGCCGAGCCCACCGCCGAATCTCAGCCTCGAGCTTATGCTCGGCCGCTGAAGGGCAATTCCCGGACATTAGTGTTGGGTTTGGATTGACTAGTATTGTTTAGGATCACAGAGATAATAGGAAAGGGAGGGAATGTTTTAGGGTTGTTTCTGTTTGTTCCTGATCCTGACACTAAAGAATAGCTCACATAGATCCTAATCAAAAAGATGTAATGGACCTCGTACCGTGTGGACATAAATGTGATTAAGACCAAGGAACTTGGGCCTTGACAAGAACTACATAGTGAAGCCCAAATTCTTTAAAGACCTATCCAAACTCATGTCCAAATTCTTTGTAGTTCTTATCGAGACATATTCTTTGAAAAAGCCAAACACTAGAAAATAAAATTCCTGGAAAAGGTTTTCCAGAAATGGTATGTTTTTTGCCAAACGAACGCACCACCCTCAATGATATTCTACCTTGGACTTGCCTGCCTGCCTGCTAACATGTTTGTACTCCACATTCTGTCGTTTATGCTTCAATTAGTAAAGATTGCATGCACAACATACCAGCAAGAATAAACCCATTTCTTCAGGAGTAATTATAAATTACACGGCAACAGTATAAAAAAAAAAAGGTCCTCCGAAAGCCTTCTTATCGATCATTGAATTGTTGTTTATCAAGAGAGGAGATCGGTCAATTGCATTCTTTTTCTGGTAACCATATATACAAATCTTATTTCTTTTGCGAAATTTCTGTCAATCGTTATCTCCGCGAATTAAAAGTATACGAATACAGATCATTCAGCTCAGCCATTCTTTATGCGGTATTTTTTCCATTCAAAACTTTGAGAGGACCATATTTTTTTCTTGTGAATATGTATACACACAAATGGAAAGAATTTCACTATCCAGAAAGAAAAATCCAATTTGAATTCCGCAACGCCGCACTTTGCAAGTTCCAAGTTCAAAGGTTCTGCTTTCTGTGCACTAAAATCGTCCCTTCTTTTTGACACGATCGGCACATTTGTCATTAAGAAAATGCCATATTCTCAACTCAATTATCAAAAGTATAAAAGGCGATGAAACACTCGATTAGTACAATCCTTCTGAATTATTCTACCTCCATGAAGTGCGGAAGAGAAATGCTGCACCTCGCATCAAGACTCCCGACCTCAGACATCCCTTTCGTATCCTAAATTTGCCAATGAATGCTTACTCAAGTGGGCACGATCGAGATACTTTGAGACATTGACATGGACTTCGTGGAAACTCTTAAATGTTTTTAGGAACATAATATGCGCGATAACGCGTCCCGTTATGCACAGTGAAAAACCAGGCGAGAAAACGAGATCTTATCTTATATTCCCATATCTTCTTTCTTCCATTTCCCCTCTGCGTATCGAATTTACGCATTGATTTTTCTTTCCTAACCCAAGAAAGATATGCAATGCAATCTAAAAAATATATCTTATGGTCACATCCCATGTAACACGATTGCCTGCAGATGATCCACCAGGATAAGCTAAATGGAGTGCATAGTGCTGTCCTCCAATGTTGTCCTGGCTCCTGACAGAGACACGTTAGTCCTTAAGGAAAAAGGTCTGAACTTGAAGTTTGTTATTACGTGAGATTAGGCATGCCTAAACGACGATTAGAAGGCCGTGTCCCTTCATGGTCTCAAAGGCCAATCTGATATTGGTCTCAATTCCATTTTTTTTTTCTTCCGTCTAAATGAACAAGAGCGACCATAAGCAATTCGGTCTTATCCTGGCAATCCTGGAAACTTCCATATTGACTTGTCTTGTAGGGTTTCTGCCTGGTTTTACAAAGCCTGTAGAGCTGTTTTTGAACTCTAACAATCAAACACGGTTGAGTTCTTGATACCTGCCGGGTCACGTCTCGCGTGTAATGACCATTGTTGTGACTTGTGATGGTGTGGACCACAGAGATTTTTTTTTTTTTTTGCTTTTTTGGGATATACGCATCAAACTCGAGCATTCGAGTGGAGAAGCAAAAAGGAGTCCACAGGAATTAGACACGTTGCGTGAAAACAGTCGAGTCTTAGTACATGTTAGCTTATGAATTTGCATTCCGAAGAACCATTAGGCAATTGTTGCCATGTTAAGAGGATTGGATTCACATTCACCTGAACAATGCTGTTACCTGCTCTTTTGACAGTTCATTTTGCTGTTGTCTGATTCCGAAATTACTTTATTCAACCCTGTACAAAATCTAGAAACGGAAGATTGGTAGCCGTAAAATCAATGACGCGAAGCTTCTCTACGTGTTGCCCCAAAAAGAGTAGGTTCAAGATGTCGAGAAAACAACTTATCCAGGCATTGGAAAAGTGTCTCTGCTTTAGTTTCGATACCTTCGATTTTTTTTTTTTTTTGAGACCTTGAAATGGAATGGAACAGGGTTCTCTCCTAGAAAATTCGCAAGTTGGGGCGCTGTGCATAACCGGCCACATCTAGTCTCAATCAGCGATTCTCTTCGCAAACCGTTCACATTCTCATTCTCTTTGGAGATGAAGTTGAGGTCGCCGTGCTGACTCATTTGCTAGAAAATAAAATAATATGTAAACAAGACAGTTTCAATTCTAATGGACCTTTTTGACTGATAGTGTCCAAAAGCCGCCTCGTATATTTTTTTGCCATATGTGGATATCGAGATTTTTAATCTGGAATCGACCTTTCCGCCTTCCAATGGGGGATCGTGGAAAGCACTTCGATTCGAGTTCTTGGAAAGAAACATCGATCCAGGGACAAAGTGCATTGTTGTTCATGTTCAGATAATTTATGCAAATAATTCTGGTTATGTATTAATGTCGTTAGGACTAATGATTCAATGCTTATCTGGAGCTAATAATTGGCTGTTTGTAAATTCCAATGCTTAGATCAGGACTTAATTGTTTATAGCTCTCGCTGCAATGCATTTACTGTGATTCCGTATTGCTGTCACGTTTTGTTTGGCCTTTTAGGATTGATTTTGGTTGGTTTTGCGGACAGGTTGTATTTACTCTGGCCAAGATGATGGGTAGTTTTGTTTTTGTTATGTTTCCTTTTTTGTCTTCATTGATCGTGGCCGCGCGATCGGCTTGACGTAAAATTCCCTCTTAATCCTGCACCAAGTAAATTTCTTGCTTTGTGCAGTTGCAGTCAGCTCTTGCTTGCAAGTGCTTAGTAAGAGAGAAATCAAATCAAGGAGGCTGATTTTATCTAGATAAGACACTAGAATTGAACAAGCTCAAAGCAGACTCGTATGGTTGCATTGCACTTCCGCTAAAAATTATTTTGCATCAGAAGAAACTGCTTGTGTCGATTGAACAGGGCTTTGTCAATTTGAGGTTACAAGTAACATCAGAAATTTTAAAGTCATTGGTTCAGATAATTTTCTTTACGAAGTGTTTGCATCATCAACTACCATGATTGCCAACATATAGTACAGAACAAAAGTCGTGCGGTCCAAGTGGTTTTCTTTTCTCCGAAATGGTTCTTTGAACATGTGTGGTGGAATCTCGCCACTTCAACTGGAACCGGATTTAGATCAGAAATGAAAACTCCAGAAAATTTTCTGATAACTTGAGACACCCACTAAGCAACAGGAATTCTCATATGCTAAGGAAGGATCTATCATCTCCTTTGGTAGAAAAGATCGGGGTACTTTATTTTGTATCGGCCTTTTTACGAAGCTAAATTGGTGCTATCTGTATCTATAGAGAGAATAATCATAGATTTGTCTCTATGAATATATGCCAGTGTTTCCTATTGAATTAGGTAGCCAGAGATGCCCATGACAGAACTTTCTAAAAATTATATGCCCAAATAATAAAGTCATTGGAATCATGTATTGTAGCTTAAAGACTTACTCTGGTCCACACAGATAAAATGTTTATCTGCAGTTTAGGCCTTTAGCAGATGGTAAAATTTTCAAGAATCTGCGTAAAGATGATGATAGTCCTTGCTAGTTTGCAGAGTGTGTAGAACTGTTGATTCCTATCTCCACATAATGTCAAAGCCAGACTAGATCACTTTGTTTGTTTTATTAAACTATTTGTCGTTTCCTGTGCATCTCGCACTTTGTTTGCATCAGTAGAGCATTGTTCATTCACATCCATTTTAGGAATAAACAAAAGGTTATAGAATAATCTATGTTTTTATGCTTATCTTATAGCTGAAGCCTCCAGGAATATAAAGAAGGGATCCAGGTTAGTCATTTGAATTCCACATTGCTATTAACAATTAAATGATCTTCCTCTCCTTTCTTTCATGACCATTCTGTTCCCATTTGCGAAGCTTGTAATTCACTGACAAAATCATGATGGCATGAGAGCTGATGCAGTCTATTATGTTCTCGATTGAACATAAATCTATTCACTTCCTGTTTGTGCTTGTAACCCCGTGGAGGATGTACACCCAGAAGACATATAGCCACGAAATGATTAGGTCGAACGACGAACTGACTAGCGGTGACAACTTTGAGCTCAACAATCTTCACTCTCGAGTACTCAGTGCGCCACAGCCTTGGAATGCTGGAATCTCTGCCCAGCCACCAACCATGGGCTTATGCTTGCGGTCCGAGAACTTTGGACCTGCTAAATCATCGAGTACTACAATGTTGAGCTGTTTCGAATCACCGGCTTCTGCTTTCTATGCAGCCGAGCACTGCATGGGATTTCAACAGCGTGGATGTGATGTTAGCACTTCATCTGATTGCTCACAACCGTCTAAAGCATGTGATACTGAATTCCCTCTATACCGATCTTCCAGGGAGAGTTTCACAATCAATTTTCGAGATCAGTCAGACCCCTTTATTGAGTTGAAAGAGCAAGCAATTGCAAAGTCTCCTTGCAGCAATGAGTATGATAGAGCTGCTGAGAAATGCTATAAATTCGAATACACCAATTCGCAGCAGAGCAAGGTTCTTGCTCATAGACAAGACAAATTGCTCAGGGACAACGCAGCCTCCATCTGGAGGTGTCTCTCGAGTCCCTCCACTGCGAAAAGGGACCAAAAGGTTTGACTGTTCTATTGTGTGTCTTGCTTTTGCTTATCTTGACTAATATAAGCCAATTTGTTCTCAATACTTAGAATGAATAGCCTTTTGTTTGCAGGTCTCTTGCAGTTCATCAGGTCATCTGCTGTCACAACTCAGCTTCTCTTCTCAGTTGGAAAAACAGCCTTCAAATTTTCCTTCTGCAAATGCCTCGCCAACAGTATCCGTTCTCTCAAATAAAATGAGAATTAGGTGGACTCAAGATTTGCACGAGAAGTTCGTTGAGTGTGTAAATTGCCTCGGGGGTGCTGAAAGTAAGTGATATATAGCTTATCTGTTTAAACAAAAAGTGAACAGAGATTCATTTTGATTTTCCGATGATTGATAATATACAGAGGCAACTCCGAAGGCTATCTTGAAGCTGATGGATTCAGATGGATTAACAATTTTTCACATTAAAAGTCATTTGCAGGTATGTACAAGTGGGAAACTTCTTGTTTGCATGAGCCATGAACTTAACAGTAAACCTCAATCTTAAAGATCTTGCAATCTTTTGTTTGCAATGCAGAAGTATCGAATTGCAAAATACATGCCAGATTCTGCAGAAGGTTAATCCTCTTATTCTAGTAATCTGGTATAAATGATGTTTATTAATTCCTTCCCCTCAGCTATAAGTCCCAAAACCTTTTCATTAAATGATAGGAAGGACTGCTAGAAGAACTAACTCAAATGAAGTTCCCCAGATCGATATCAAAAAGTAAGCCTGGCTCAATCCATATGTTCTGCAATTTGCAATTTTTGTTACCATGCGTTGAGACAGATATATCCTCTCAAGCACGTTACTTCAGGTGTTAATGTAAGAGTTTGTCATATGGCAGCAGTCTGCAAATAAGAGAGGCGTTACAACTGCAATTGGATGTGCAAAGGCATCTTCATGAACAACTTGAGGTGAAGTTCTGATCCTTTCTTAAAGTAAAGAAAGGGCAGAGGATGGAGAGACTTTGAAAGGCGTCATGTAGATTAACTTTTACTTTCTCAGTTTTAGAAGTGAATTCCATGAAAGAAAGTTTGGCCTCTTAAACGCCGTTCTGTGTTTTCTTCAACTTGCCCGCGGTTCATCATTCCTAGGTTTTATGTCTAAAAGAAGAGTTTATGTGGATATCTTCGACAGATTCAGCGGACTTTGCAGTTGCGAATTGAAGAGCAAGGGAGACAACTGAGGATGATGTTTGATCAGCAACAAAAGTCAAGCAATTGTCCCTCCAAGAGTGAAAGTATGAATAGTCTCGAAGATGTTCATTTCTCAGCGACAGAAGGTCTTCAAAATACTCATAATACTCATTTCCCATCCAAAATAAGTTAGCTGCCCAATAGCGCAATTTCTTGGTCTACCATTCACTACAGTCCCAGTCTCTTCCGGCCGGGGAAGAAAGGAAAAAGTGAATCAGAAGCTGCTAAACAGCATGATAAAGAAAAAATTATGTCAATGTGGAGGAATAAGGAAGATGAAGGGACTCATTCCTTCTGCTGATACTATCTGCGCAACCAATTGCTATGGCAAAGAAAACAATGGTTGTCAAGACTGAATAGCTGTTCTTGGCCTACTGCAGTGTACCCACTATAAATTGAATGTAACAGGAAATGCTTTATCTTAATTTGGAGCTCTGTAAGGCCAAAGAATTATCTCATATGTGTTGATTTAGGGAAGTGTGTTTCTCTGTGTATAGTGTCTCAAAATTTATATCCAAAAGGTGGGATCTTACTAAGAATTGCTGGGAAAGTCCATCATGGAGTGTTTGGTTTGTGAAATTTTTAGGCAGAATATACTGTGTGATTTATCTGCAACTGTCTGATAACTTTGATGTTGCATTATATCAATCATCAGGGAATGAGCATGAATTGCCGAAGATAATTGCAGTCATATTTTGGTTTTCAAACATATTAAGCAATTTGGTGTATCTTCTGTTTCATTTTCCTAGAAGTATATGCTCATCAGACAGACACATACGGGGTTGCACACTTTGGATGCAAGTGTCTCTCGGCAGACTTTATGAACACATCACTACAACATAATTTGTGTAGCATGGGGTATCACAGGTACTGCTGTTTTAGTTCCTGTCAAAATGGCCAATTTTTGCCGGTTTTTTTCATTTTATTATGAAGTTAAAGAAGCATTACATTATCAACAAGGTGGAATTTTGATTCACAGACTGAATACGACAAAATGCTGAAGCGCGAGGTTTTGACAACTTAGAAGCTTACTCGAATCTAGGGGCTGCAGCAATAGGACATATCCTTTTAGGGGTTAAATTACATAGGCACCAATATATTTCTGAGATCCAACATATTTGGGCTAATTTGGGGCGAAATCACCTTTTTCCACCAATGTAACCTAGGTGAGCACAACTCTGGAAGTTAAACAACACTTTGGGGCAACATGAATAGAACAGATTACTGCATCTGAGCTTCACATAAATGCGATCATCAACCAGTTTATGCTAAAATTGATTTCCTGGGAAAGATTCTTCCAAGTGGCTTATCTATGTACAAGTACATTAATGTTGCTCTTCTTGTCACCAGCACTACTGAAATGGATTCAACTGCATCTCTAAACAATTTGATTGCATGATCAGTAGATTTTCACAACTTTAGGACTCGCACAATCTCCTGATCCTTTTATCACTATGTATCATTCTCAGTGGGCCATCAATGGTGTTCTCTTTATGGCCTCTTCATAATTTTGACCTCCTGATCTTTGGATAATTTACCGAGACCCCCTCCTTTTTGGCTAAATCTTAGCGACACTCCATTCTTTGACAAGACACGGCACTCGTGGATGATGCTGATGCAGCCTTTGCCTGCCCAGAGTTGTCTCTCAATACCCTTCGAGGAGAACAATGAACACAAGCTTTGGAAGTTCCATCATCATATCACTTGTTTTGGCAGTTCTTCACTATTACATTATCCAGGTTGTCTTTAAGACTTCAGAAAGACATCCATCTGTTTGCAGCCTTTTAGGTTAAATCCAGCTCACTACTTGGCAGTTAGCAGTCATGTTATTCCGTAAACGACGAATCGGCAGGCTCAGTGTTCTCAAACAGAACAAGAATAATATGGACTCAGTATTTGCCTTAGGTTGGGGGTGTCAAACGAAAGTGACTCAGAGAATACCCGCTAATAAGGCTATCTTGAAGCTGATGGATTCGGATGGATTGACAATACTTCACCAGAAGTCTGAATAGAACAACACAACGCTTAATAAAAGAAAGCACACTTCTCTTATCAAAAGCACTCTCCATGATATTGCTTGGGAGGACTTCTTTCATGCATTTACCACAACTGAAGCACTTCTTAGCTATTTGTAGCCGTAACAAGGAATGAGATGGTTCTATCTCCCTAGATAATTATAGAAATTACTTATATTACTAGATGTGTCCAATCTATTTGCCACACAATTATAAATTCTATAACTAAAATGTCTCCTACTTTGCCACGAGAAAAATCTAAACAGTCAAATGAATAGAGTAGTTTAGATAAGTCTAGAATTCTGGAGAAAAAAGGCGGTGCAACTTTTTCCTCGGTACTCCTTCATACCCACTACTCTTCTCTCAAAGTGAATCTAGCGACCACGCCAAGTTGCTTTTGGAACTCTTCAAACTTTGCAGTACCAAGTCGTTTGATTAAAATATTTGCAACTTAACCACTTGTCTTTACGTACTCCATCTCTCTCTCTCATTAGCACTTTTTCATGCAAGAAGTGATAAAGTACTTTTACATACTTAGTTCTTGCGTGAAAGATTAGGTTCTCTACCACCCATATGGTTGAATGATTATCGCAATGGAGCTCTACAAGGCATTCAATAGGTTGCATTAACAGTGTACTTTCTTGTGCTGCCATGTACTGCTTTATACTTAGCTTTTGTGATCGATCGATAGTGACATTTTTTTGTTGCCTTTTACTACACCATGACACACTCCCCCATCCAAGGTAACATATATCCAGTAGTTGAACGTCTCGTGTCATGGTCGCCAGCATAGTCAACATTGCAATATCTGCTAACCTCACACTTTAGATGGAGAATTTCAAGATCAAAGGTGTGACATTCTGAATTTCGGGCCATTTTTGGGATTTATAAAACGTGTAATTCGTCGGTGTGCTTATAGTAAAATCTCGCTCGGGAACTGATCACTCCCGGTTATTGATTTTAAAATTGAGATTTCGCTAGAATCGCACTTGATCGAATTTGGCGTTATTTAGAGCCCAAACTTTGGTGTTGAATTTCTCGGAGTTACGAGACAGAATTTAATTGGACGGTGTCGATATTATTGTGGCCAAATCGATATTACCCGGGATATGTGGAAAGTGAGTTTTTGACCGGGTGCGGATTTGGACCGGTAGATCTCTTTTGCGGTGTGTTTTTATTAATACCCTTTGGCCAAATCCCAAATTATTAATTAGGACTTTTCGAGGACCGTTAGATCGTTTTTAGATTCGAATCGTGGTCGTTAGGTCGCGATTATTGTGATTTGACTACTCTCTCTCTCCTCCCCTCTTTTCCGCCGGTCCACCCTCCCTTTTTGCGTGTTTGACTCCCCCACCGAACCCACCAACTCCCCATCATTTCCCCCTCTCTTTCTTCTTATTCTTTTCTTCTCCTTCTTCGTTGGTTTTGCTTCTTCACCGCTGCTGCTTCTGCTGTTTCTGCTTCTGCTCCTCTGCTGCTGTTGCATCTGCTTCTGCTTGCTGCTGCTGCTTCTGCCCCTCACTGCTTTGCTGTTGCTGCTTCTTGTTCTGCTTCCTTCGGCTTCTTCATTTCCAGCCGTCGGATTGGTCCATTTCTCGCCGGAAACAGCCCCTGTCGCTGGCTGTTTTCCAGCCAAGTTTCTAGCTTCGTCGCCCGTTGTCCGTCCCCGCCGTTGCAGCCGCTGCTCCGCTGCTGACCAGCCACCTAGCCGACACCACCAGACACCATTACACGCCCGGATCAGCCCCCAAGCAGCCCCAAGCAGCCACCCACAGCAGCCACTCCTTCGCCGTGCCCGGATCGCCGCCGTTCGTCGCTCGTAACGCAAAACCGGGGCCGCCACGAGCGAGCTCGCGTCGTCGCCATCGTTCTTGTGCTATCGCCGTCGTTAAACGGGTAAGTTAACTCCTAATCCCGCGTTTAGGGTGTTAAACTTGCTTAGGGTAGTTTAAGTAGTGTTTAGATTAATATTAAGTTTGTCTAGTTATGATTATGTGTTAATTACGGATTAGTGTTTAGTTAATTGTGTTTAGGGTTTAAGTTATTAATTAGTTTATTGTTATTGATTATTATTATTAAATCAATTATTTTCGGAATTTTATATATTATTTTATTAGTTAATATATTAATTCCGAATTAAATATTTAATATTTTATTATTAAATAATTAATTTCCGAAAATTAAATGTTATTATTTTCGGAAAATTTCTAGCGTCAAATTGTGATGCCAATGTTGGTTTTCGCCGTATAAGTTGGCGTATTTAGGAAATGATTTGAATGATTTCGATTCGAGGAAATATTTTGACATTTTGGAAAATTAAATTATTTTCGGATATTATTAATTAATTAATTCCGAATTTAATTTATTGTTATTTCGGAAAATTTATAATTTCAAATTATGATTTCTAGCTTGAATGTTGGCGATTTTGCCGCGTATTGTCGTATTAAATTGATTTTATGGCAAATTGTTTGATCGAAAGTTTCTGTGGAAAAATTTATGAGACTTTTGGAATTAAATTATTTTATTCTGTTATGCCAAGTAATGTTAGTGATACTTTGTGGTTGATATTCGTGTTTGATATCGAAGATTGAAAGAATTGATTGACTGTTTGCATGTGTGGCCACTTGGTATTATTGTATGACATCGAGGAGAGCACGATTCATGTATGCATGGGCTAATTGAGAAGATAATAATTGGCCGGAATGCTTGTGTGCTCGTGTGGTCACACGTTAAAGCCGTCTTCTTGTGTATCGCTTGACGTTGCCCGATTTATCGGATGCCCGGGGATAATCTGAGTGCCGATACCCGGATGCCTTGTCGCGGCCCGAGGCCGGACTCGATGCTCCTTACGGGATACCATCTTCTTGTGTATCGTTTGATGTTGCCGTATTGGAATGCCGTCATCCCGTGTATCGTTTGACGTAGCCGTGCCCGACGGGGCGGGACGGAGCCCGGTTTTTACCGGTAGACCGCCATCTTGCTTGCGTATCGCTTGATGTGTGGTGGCCCAGGGGCGTAATAATTGGAATACGTGTGATGCATAGTGCTTGATTATGGGGTAGAAACTGCTAGGCATGGTATGGGACGTGCCCAAGTGGGTTTTACCTTATAATCGAGACACGCGCGACTGTGATGCATTAATGCATGGAAAAATCTCTTTAAATGCTTTGAGTTTGTGACATGTGCATTTCATCAACGAGTGTCCCAAGGCGAGGTAAGGATGCCTGTGGTTGTTTAATGATGTGCTGTTGATGCTGTATTGCCTGGTTAGGGACCCCCGTGCGAGTTGGCCTTCTAAGCGGGGCTTAGGCTGTTAACTTATTGAGACTTTCATCTCATTTGTTGTTGTTAACCACTTTTCAGGCCCTTAGCACGTTGATGTACCCAGTTGGTTCAGGGTGTTTGGAAGCTGGTTTTTGGAGTTCGACTTGTTAATGGAGTAGATTAACCCTAGCCTTTGTCTTTTTGCTGGCTTTCTGTGGAAATGCCCGAAGTGGGCTTGTAAGAATATTCCCAGGGGTTAATCAAGTGAAAATCAAAATAGTGTTATTTGACTGTTGTGTTTTATCTTCCTAGCTATCCCTGTTTATTATTGTTGTCCGGGAATTGTTGTGATCGTTTCCGCATGCATAATTAAAAGATAAACTGAAGGGTCGGCGACGAGTTCTGGGACGTCGCATCTTAACGACCATAGCGGGGTGTCGTGCGCCCGCGGGGTTCGGGGCGTGACAAAAGGTCTCCTTCGTAAACCCTAGTATGCATCGAACTGCATCTTACTAAGGCTTTCGTGGTTTCTTCGTGAACCGACTTGCTACTTTCACTATAAAGGCAATGCCAAGCCATGTTATAGTTAGGTAGATTAAGCTTCCCACCAATTTCTTGTACATAGTTGAATCTTTTAATTCTCTTCCTTCAATTGCACATAGTTGTTTTATACTTTCATCCTTAGGCATAGAGATGGCTTACAATTAAGCATCCCAAGCTTTCGAAGAGATCTCGGTGCACTTTTGTTGACATAAGACTAACCCTTTTTGCGTTACTCAACCTCAAATCCTAGGAAGTGTTTTAGTTCTCTAAACTCCATCCGGAACCGAACAGAGAGATTGGCTCTAATTCGATATATCCCATTTTCATCATCTCCGGTGATGATTAGATCATCCACATAGATCAATACCATTGCAAGTCTTTCGCCTTCTTCCTTCACAAATATGCTCGAGTCTGCTAGTGTTACTGGGTAGCCACTTTGCACCAGAAATTCTACAATCTTCCCATACCACCCTATTGGAGCTTGTTTTATATCATGAAGCGCTTTCTTCAATTTGCAGACATAACTTGGATTCGCACATTCGAATTTATTATGGCCAAGAGAAATGGTTTCCGAACAGAGTTGATTACGTGCTCATGGTCCACTGTGAAAAGAAGGTTACTCATTGCTTTTTCCTAATTTGGAAACTCTAGGAAGGGGAAGAAAAACTTTTATATGGTTTGGCATTTTTGAATGATCATGCAGCATGCGTCGCATCGTCCATAGTTGCTTGAGAAGTTAATTATGGAGCATTTGGTTCCTGAAACTCTAAGCCGAAAATTCCCTAGAGGAAAATGGCGAGCCAAATGCGCGCAAGTCGAGATTCTCAAACAGCGCCCTTGCCTAAACCCCCACTCTTTCGCCGTCCGGGCCTCGTGCTCACAAGCCCGGCCTCTCGGGCCACGTAACGCGTGATCCTCGATCGCTAACTCACAACTATCTCGCTGGAGCATCGAGTTCTCCGCAGAATTTGTGGAGGCAGAAGACCATCTAAGATTGAAATAAGATCGAATCGATAGGCAAGCCTTGCCTGAGACAGGCCTAAAGGAGTCCATGTCCTTATCCATGTCCACCACGAGTCAAAAACATTAACACTTCATAAAATGTGCGGCCGAACTAACAAGGTATAAGGCTCAAGAGGAGAACGATTTGCTCATGCCTACGGCCTACCCACTTCGCACTTCGAACGACTCGGCCCTAAGATGGGGCCTCCCGTTGAGCTCGATCCAAGCAACCCGGAAAACATTTGGCTTCACAGCGCAGTTTGTGCCCCTCCGCCGCCACCGCCGCGCGCGGTGGTTTCGTGTCGCGTCGGCCCTTTTGCGACCCCATGTTGAAATCAAGGAAGCCCGCTCTCACTCTGTCGAGCAACTGACGAGCGGCCTCGCCCTCCGTCCTCTTCCTTCCTCCATTCACGGAGGTCCCCACTGACGAGCTCCATCCACACGAGGCTCCATCGATCTCCACTTAGCGGAGGGTGGAAGCAGCAAGGATTGGCGCAAGGTACGGCTATCAACGACGTAACTCGAATCTGTGGAAGCTCGAAATTGTCCGTGGTTTCGTTGCTTATGACCCTTTTTACGATTATGAGTAATAACGAGTGATGACCCGTCTATACAAACTCCGAGTAAGTTGCAGCGAGTACGATGAGGGTCTGGTCGGTTTATGTAGTTAGCCTGGTTAAGTCGTCCAAAACCAAGTTTTGGCCGAGTGGGTTGCTTCAGATTGCTCAAAGTCCTGAACTTTACGGGACGACAAGAAGTTGTCGTGTGGGATTGACAGGGGGTTCTCTGAATAACAATGGAAAATTGGGGAGAACTCGTGGTGTGACTCTTAGACTAGCGCAAGATGCGATTATGGAGTACCTGCACTTCACTCGTGGCTTGCCCTTCATGGATGCAGAGTTTATAAGTAAAAATTCACCTCAGTTTCTCGATAGGCTTCTGCAGAAAGTCGATGCCCGGGACGACATTGGCCCGTCGATATCGCGGTTCTTGCGCTACCACCCTATAAACGAATTCGAGCCATTTTTCGAGAGTCTGGGTTTGAGTCCGTCCGATTATGCTCGGCTTCTTCCAAGAGAGAGGATGTTTTTGATGGATGATCAGCTGTTGTTGGAAAACTATCATGTACTGTGTGAATATGGGATTGCACGCGAGAAGATGGGGAGTATCTACAAGGAGGCTCCTGAAATTTTCTGTTATGATCGTGGGCTTTTGATGTTGAAGATTTGTGCCTATGAGAAACTGGGGCTTAGTCAGTCTACTATGGCTAAGGTTATTGCTGCGAGTCCTTATCTTTTGACTGGAGATGTTGATAAGGACTTCGTCGAGGTATTAGAGAGTTTGAAGAATCTTGGATTTCAGTTCAGACTGATTGAAGAGAATATTTCTGAAAAGGATTGTTTTAGATGGAGTCAGATTCTTGAGCTTCTCTGCTTCTTTAGCAAGATAGGTTGCGATGAGGAGCAGCTGAGTGAGTTAATAAGACACCATCCAGGAATTCTCTTTGAAGGTTCAGGGGACAAGACATGTTCCCTCAGTGGTTATCTGTTAAAATTTGGGTCCTCTGTATGTGAAATACGGTCAATGTTTTTGCAGTTTCCAAATGTCCAAGTTGGAAAGTTTTTGTCAAATTTGAGACGGTGTTTTCTGTTCCTCACTGAGATTGACATGCCGCCTGAAGACATCAGCAAGATTTTACGCTCTCATTCCCCGTGGTTGGGTGCATGTACTCTGAAGAAACCTAACACCATATTTGCTAGGTTAAATGTTGGAAAAAAGCGGCTTTGTAAAATCATCAAGGATGACCCAACAGAAATGAAGAATTGGGTTCTTGGATCACGAATTGAGCGACTACCTGATGCAAGTAAGAAATTGCTGAAGGTTGAGTTTTTGTTGGGATTGGGATTTACTGATGATTTAACCAAGATAAGTGAGGCTGTCAAGTTATTCAGAGGCAAAGCCGAAGATCTTCAGGAGAGGTTTGATTGCCTTGTGACCGCTGGTTTGGATCGGAAGGACGTCATTAAAATGCTGACAGTATGTCCCAAAATTCTTAACATGTCAAAGGATGTGATTGAGATAAAAATTGATTTTCTCAAGAATGATTTGGGTTGCCCCTTGTCAGTTTTAGTTAAATTTCCAGCTTTTCTTGGTTATAAAATTCAGAGAATCAAACTTAGATATTCCATGTATAATTGGCTGAAAGACCAAGGAGCAGCTGATCCTGAGTTGGCCTTAAGTACTTTCATTGGATGCTCAGATAGAAAATTTGTTAGTCAGTTTGTAAATCGACATCCTAGTGGCCCGAAAGTTTGGCAAAACTTGAAGAAGGAATTTGTCCACAAAGAGTGTCTAGTGCATGCTTCTTGAATGAGTTTAGCAAGTGGGCAATCGAGGTGTATGTTTCTCTTGTAGACTAAAGCTAATTTATAAATTTCTTCATTTAATGGCATGAAGTATAGATGCCATTTTTGGGGGGGCTTGGCCTCTTCTCTTCCTGTAATATCCGCTGTTGATTCGAAAAACTTCTCACAAATCGTCAGCAATGTTTACATTCAAAAGGACTTTGCACTTGGAGAACCTGTTCGAAAACTCTCTCCGGAGTCATCATTTACATGAAGTGGTATTCATCAAGCTTCACCAGGGAGACTTTGTTTTCAGGAGAGAAAAACAAAAAAGAAGCATGAAAAAGCTGAATCAAAGAAACATCGCTGATGAGAAAACTCGATCACTTGCATTACTGCATGTTGTCAGTTCTTTATTAGTAGAGGCCTTATCATTAGTATGCTGCAGAAATAGTTCTGGTTGGAAATACTGACTGTTTGACCACTCTTAGTGACAAGATAATGTGGTCTGTTTGGGTGTCTCTGTAAGAGGGACCTCCATTTTAAGACAAATGGTGTTGGACAAACAACACACTGCGCTCTGATTGAGGTTGAAATGCTACTGATCCATGAGAACTTCATTCGATGTTACTCATCCTGGTTTAGATTGAGTGCAATTGTCAGGCAGTCATTGTTTAGAGTATCGATAATTCGATTGCTTTATGGTGGGATTCCTGCAATGACCTGCCATCGTCTTTGTTTGTCACCTTTTTATAATCATTTACATCTTGAGTTGACTATGGAAATCTTGGTACGTCCCAGGAAAATATGTTGACTTGTTAATTTTTAGGGTACAGAGTTAAGCCCGCATTGGCCATATTGACCTTCCCGGATTTATATCAGGGGCTTAGCAGGCCAATTCCCCCTATATGTGAGCTCCAGAAGAACGTATGGTAACCCCCTCATAGCGTAATGTGATCCAGATTTAAGCATGCTCGAACGGAAAATGTTTTCTTGCAAAACCGAAACGAACCAAATCGTTGAAACCCCTAGTCACAGGCTGAGTATTTGGAGGAGTACCGTTGTCGTGCGGTCGGTTGTTAGAATCACAGATGCAAGAAGCAGATGGTGATCAAACAGAAGGAACGCGAACCTGGGAAAAACCTAGACGGGATCGAACAAGACAGTGGGCCTAGGACCATGTTTCAGCCCTGTAACTGGGGAAAAGGGATGTATTATAAGCGCAGTGACATGGTAACTGGGGCTACACCTACAAGGTGGTGGAGCCAGACAGGTGCAACATTATTAAAACGTAACTGAGAATCACGGGACAAAAGCTTTTGGGTTGTTGCTGTTGAACGCTGACCTGTGGTGCAAGAACCGATCCATGAACTGCTGTTCAAATCTGAGTAAGATTGCCACAAGTTTTGAAAAATCAGTGTTTTCCTAAAGTTTTCAGATCCAAGAATTTTCCATACTTCAATTGCTCATCGGCTCAGGTACACACCCAACATAAGTCCCAATAATTCGGATCATTTAATGTTATTTGTTGTACACATGCCCTTGCAAATTGCCTTTGTACCCAGTGGTAATGTTTCGTTCCTTTCTTGTATTAACCCTGCTGGTACGATGTTCAGTGATTTCCTCTTGGCTGCCTATGGGACGTATGATCGATGCCCCGAGTTTAACCTCGAGCCCGTCTTCTTCCTCCACGTGCAATCGCGATTTTCTTACGCTTCCGTGACCTTAGTAATGTCCACATCCATCTTGCGCCTTGCATTAGCTATTCCCTGCGATCAGAGCCTGCTCTTTACTCGTTCCGAATAGGTCGAAGTCTCTTAACTCCTCTGTTCTAACTAAAAATGGAACAACCATACATGTACTGCAATCGTTCCTAATTTTGAATTATTTCAAGCTGATAGCTACTCATCATTTATACTACCCCTAAACTTAAAAAAAGCTCAAAAGTCTAGATAAAATACGAGAATCATAGCTTTAAGCTCGGATGGACCGTTTGCATATGGAAATATGGCATCCTGCAATTCCAACTTTGGTCCCCCTCCAACTTCCAGGAAAAATAATCCATCAAAATTCCCCTCATTAACTACCGTATGTTTCGAATCCACATCTTTATGGAAAAGGAGTCCACAGAATCTCCACACACACGCAGCATGAGCACGTCCCATGTTGATGTCGAGGAAAAGCGAAGTGCTTTTTCACATCTCTCGTTCGTTTGTCCTTTTTCTCCTGTCTGAAAGCTGCTTTTTCTTCCATATTCAATTAGGACCCAAGAAAGATAAATAGTGCAGCGGGGTGAGTTCTAACTCACGCGTCTGCTGCACGAACCTTGAAAACCTCATCCTGAACAAACGACGTGAGATTATTGACATCGCATTCTCAAATCTACGTTGGATTCGGCGCAAAGTCAGGAGGTCAGGCTGGGAAAAGTGTACTAATTATAGTTCTTCCAGACTTACACTATAGCACCTCTCTTGGGAATTTGAATATTAGGGTAGAAGGCGTTGGTTCCTATACTCCACCTCTCCATTCTTGAAGTTTTTTTATTGTGTTGCTCCTACTAAATTGCACCCTCTTGTCCCCTCGGGACACACAAACCACTGTGGTGTGTAGACCCTTCTTTTTCCTCTTCTCTGGGTGTCAATAATTAGATGGATCAGACCCTGTTTTGAACAGTTAATCGCCTAAGATTTATCGTTGTAAAATTTGACCGGATCGACCATCCTCTAAAGACCAAAACCCTATCATGGTGATTTTTCTCTGCTGCAGGGGCACCTCCTGCTGATATACGTTGCTGTATCCCTAGTCTCGAAGTGATTTTTGCGATTATCTAGGCTAGTAGTTGACTGCTGTTATTTTGTTCATGTTTGTATATGAATGCATAACTCTCTTGTCAGGATAAAGTGCATGTTATTCGCATGACACGGCGACGAGTAAGTGTACCCACGATCCTTCATGAACTGGAGGCATAATGACTATAACAATAAGATTGGTACAGGTACAAGATTTGTATGTACGGTAAAAAGAGATTATGTGACGCATTTCACAAAAAAGGTGCCTACTACCAAGTGGGGCTTTCCTCTACGTGAGATCCCATCGACTGTCAATAAAATTAGATCATTGGATCGGCTCGAACCTACCCTAACCTAGGATGTAATTAGAGAAGTGGCACAATTTAATCTATCCAAATAGAGATTCAACCTTTACCATTTTAAATGAGGTGGATAAAACCTGCAGTTACAATGTTATTTTGACACGGTTGAGGTTAAGTTCTAGTCCGAATACTTGGAAAATCAATTGTAGCTTTTCTATTTTTTTTTTCCTTACCACCCTGCCTTGATTAAGTGAAGATTGGATATGACACTCGTGGGATTGACGGAAGGGCACTATCACATCAGTGGAGGATAGGTCAGCTAACGATTAGTATCATACACCAGCAACGATACAGTGAATTAACTCTTTATGATAGACACTGTTATTTACTATATCAAGAAAATTTCGGCTCTTGCGAAAATATTCAAATCCCATAAATCATATAAAGTCACTTGCACAAGTCAAATCCTTGGTTTAACCGATTTGTTAGATTAGCAAACGGATTCGTAGTCCTCTGAACAGTTGAATCTCCATGCTATTGGGGTTGAATATGCTTCTTTGGTATCTACGAAGCAACAAGGGCAGTCACGTGGAGAGAAACTGAAAAAAGACCACCTGTCCCGTTTTCGAGTTCGTGGGTACACAGTCTTGCCGACGAAACTGCTCCGCTAATCTTAAAGAATGACAGCCGCGGCCATCCTAGAAAGGTTCCGCAATAAACTAAGGTTCTGGTAGGCTCATATCATTTCTCCCACGAGTTATATTTGCGTGTTGGTATGTGGATCTAGCTGGGCGCGGACATCTAGCGGACATCACGTTCATAAAACACGGGGCTAAGTGCACACTAGATTCTACCGTTCCTTCGTGTATGTTAAGGTAACGACAGATAGAGAGACTAGATAGCTATTTCTCGAGTTAAACTATGCTCGCAACTTACTCGTAGGGAGCAACTAGCCGACAAATGGTCAACACTAGGTCAATGCCCTCGCATCAAGTGACTGCAAAAGCCATAAAATCTCCTGTGATGAGCATTCAGGGGACTGTAAATGACACGTCCTCGCGCGCCTCGCGCGCCTCGCGCTTCATCTAGGCCAGGGTCTTGCCGATTCTTGTTTCGTTCTTCTTCCTGTTCTCTCGAGATGCAAAGACGGCAAGATGAAGAAGACCCATTACAATGTTGGGATTTTGACGTCCAAATCCCATAGAATTGAATGAAAAGTGTGTGGATGAAAGTGTCCCACATTGAATAGAAGAGAGATGGGAGATGGGTTCAAATAGTTGAGCCTCACAAATGAGTTTTGGCCCCAAGGTGTGACATTCCGAATTTCGACCTATTTTTGGGATTTATAAAACGTGTAATTCGTCAGTGTGCTTATAGTAAAATCTCGCCCGGGAACTGATCACTCCCGGTTATTGTTTTTAAAAATTGAGATTTCGCTAGAATCGCATTCGATCGAATTTGGCCGTTATTTAGAGCCCAAATTTTAGTGTCGAATTTCTCGGAATTCCGGGACGAATTTAATTGGATGGTGTCGATATTATTGTGGCCAACCTCGATATTGCCCGGGATAGGTGAAAAGTGAAATTTTGACCGGGTACAGATTTGGATTGGTAGACCTCTCTCGCGGTGTGTTTTTATTAATGCCCTTTGGCCAAATCCTATATTATTAATTAGGTTTTTTTCGGGGACCGTTAGATCGTTTTTGGATTTGAATCGTGACCGTTAGATCGTGATTATTGCGATTTGACTTTTCCTCTCTCTCTCTCTCTTTCCACGCCGGTTCCCCCCCTCATGCGCCTGACACCACCTACCCCACCAGCCCCATCATTTCCCCTTTCTTCTTTTTTCTTTTTCTTTTTCTTTTTCTTCTTTCCTTTTCTTCTTTTCTTCTTCTCCTTCGCTGGTCTTCTTCTTCCGCTTGGCTTCTTCTTTTCTGCTGCTCACCGCCGGCTTGTCCTCGCCGGACCAGCCACCACCGAGCGCCACTCCTCCCCTCCGTGAACCACCCCCGTCCCAGCTCTCCCCCTGGCCGTGCGACACCACCCCTGGCCGCCCGGAACCTCCCGTCGCCGGTTCGCCCAAGCCGCGTGCGAGAAGCGCCTCTCGTCGGTCCGCCCACGCCCGCCCTCGCCGCTCGCTGCCGCTGTCCCGGCTGCTGAGACCACCACCGCCAACCTCCATTTTTGCTTGACTCAGCCTCCAAGCCGCACCGGACAGCCAGCCACAGCAGCCGCTCCCTTCGCCGCGCTCGTTTGTCGCCCGTCCGCCGGTCGCCGAGCCCGAGCCGGAGCAACTCGAGGACACTGCGGACCGCCCTCGCCGCCGCCGTCGTCCACGCGTCGTCGCCGGCGTTAGCCGAGTAAGTTAACTCCTAATCCCGCGTTTAGGGTGTTAAACTTGCTTAGGGTAGTTTAAGTAGTGTTTAGATTAATATTAAGTTTGTCTAGTTATGATTATGTGTTAATTATGGATTAGTGTTTAGTTAATTGTGTTTAGGGTTTAAGTTATTAATTAGTTTATTGTTATTGATTATTATTATTAAATCAATTATTTTCGGAATTTTTTATATTATTTT